GAAAACCACTCTGTATGGTGAGGCTCTTTCCATAAGAATCATCACTCTCATCTGAATAGAAAGCTTCTCTTGAGTATGATGCATGGTTAGATATGTATATGCATATTCACACCTGAAAGAACTGGTATATGATTGACCATGTATTCCACATGAAATACACATGCATATATTTCATAAAATCAGATGTGCACATATATGACTATATATGTCATTTAACCTCTTTCAGCCTCAGTTTCCTCATTTGTGAAATGGAAATAATAATGGTACCTACTTCATAAGTTGTGAGGGTCAAATGAGGTTAAAAAATAAAGAAATCTGGAAACCTTAAAGTACTACATAAAATTAGCTTATCAGTATTATTATTATTATTAAACACACCTGACTGAAGAAAATACATGCTATATTAAAAAAGGCGCTAAGCTTAGAGTCAGGAAACTCAGTTTCAGAGTTTGACTCTGAAGTAAACTAGTTATATGACCCCAAACAAATTAATTAATCTTTCTGAACTTAATTTCTTCATAGATAACATAGTATAATAATAAAAATCACTATCATTTATATAACAATTTTAAAGTTTGTAAAATTATATATATATATATATATATATATGAAATTTCACTTGATCCTCCCAAAACCCTATAAGGTATGTGCTAGTATCTATATTTTACTGATGGGAACACTGGGGCAGAGAGAGGTTAAATTACTGACCCAAGGTCACAGATCTACTAAGTGTCTGAGACAAGATTTGAATTCAGGTCTTCCTGACTCCAAGTACGGTATGCTCTATCCACTGTACCTTTTAATTGTCTCTAATAATTACTTATGTTAAACGCCTTTCAGGGTGGTTGTGGAAAAAGTATTTTGTAAATTTCATAATGCTCTACAAATGTAAATATCACTAGGTTTGCAGTTCTGATTGTTACTTGCACCCCTGGCAACTGCATCATCACTCATGGCTAGTCATATGCCTTTTCTCTTTCAGGAGTCATCCCTTCTCTTAATGATATCTTACATTTCAATTTCTATTCAGTTTTTTGTTTATACCTGGAGCTCAGTGTGTCCTTAAAGAATTTTTTTGTCTGTTTTGTTCAAATAATTTTGTAGCCCCAAATCAGAAATCCTGCTGGAATCTAATTTCTATATATGTGGCTCCTTAACAAAACCATGTCACAGACAATGCTGCTTTGTTGCTGATAGTGGAAAGTGTGCAAGAGCCTGGTTATTAGGTTCACTTTTTTGACATTCAGCAGACTTGTAGATGGCATTTAGAAAATTCTTCATGAATCTGAATGAAATGTCATTTCCATCTCCAAAATCTATCTGTCAACTTTTATGATTGTAGGTCCTTACCAACAAATAGAAAACCAAACTAGATCGCTCCTTAGGATTTTACTATTAGAGAACTAATGTAAGATATAGGCAGGGTTGTGCTGGAACCAGCTCATATTGGCTTGCAAGAGCCAATTGTTAAATTTTCACTGTGAGTGTTTGCACACTGGAAATTGCAAATGCTACAAACCAAGCATGATTTACTGTTTTGTGGATTGCCTAGACTTAAGAAAGTCATAAAGAAAATGTTAATAAATAGTGTAAAGGATTTAAAACTAGTTACCTTATACACCAATCATACAATAAATAACATGTTTCAAAGCGAAGATCATAAAGGCAAAATTTCTCTGGCTCTGTTTATAAAGCATAGTCTGGAGTATACATGTATTATCAGAATTCATATGGAGCTGGAGTTGAATTACAGAATCAGTACAGGGGAATGTTGCTAATCTTTCTCATTGTTCACTTCTGAATAATATTTGAGTTAGGCACTGGTTTGTTTTCTCCCCCTTCTGGAAATTCTTTAAATTGTAGAGTGTGTGTGTGTGTGTGTGTGTGTGTGTGTGTGTGTTTTCCTGGAGATCCAGTTGTTCAGTCTTTACTAGCACCCTCTTGGGTGTAGAGGAAAAAGCCACCAGAAGACCTAGGTTTCAATGGGTGTTCCATTATTACTCTCTCTGTAAGGTGTATTACTTTACCTCTTTGAAGCCCATTTTCCATCTCTCTAAAAATGGAGATGAGAATCTCTGCCAACCTCATATGCAAGTTTTTTTTAATCAAATGAGACTTTGTGAAAGCATTTTATAAACTGTATAGTATCCTCCACCCCAAAAGATCTTTTTTACATGACACCTTTCCATTATTTATTTCCTTCTTCGTGTCCAGCAAGAAATGCTACTTTTATTCAATTTTCCATTCCATGGATGCAAAGAATGTCAAAGGCAGAAGAAATTTTTGAAATCATTTAGTCCAATTGCTTCTTTTTATAGAGGAATAGGGAGTCATGAGAAGTTAAAAAATTTCCTCAGTGGAAGCTGGAATGAGAACCCATATCTTTGGATCCCATGATTTTTTTTTTACCCCAATCCAAAATTCTTCCCAATTCTATGTGTAAAGTCTAGCCAACAGTTAAGTCCCATGGCCACTCCTTGTGGAGTCTGTAGCTATATCCTCTTCACTCTAGAGTTTGAAAGGCTTCTTGTATCAGTGAGAAGTTGATTAGCCTGCTGTGGTTGTTCCCTAGCAGACAAATGGAGAATAGCAGAACTAAGCATTTGTTCCTAAATACCACATTCTTAAAAAAAAAAATTCCCCTTTAAAATATATGCTATTTTTCAATACTCAAACTTTATGTAATTCAGTTTCTAACAGCTATCTCTTCCATTACTTAAAATTTTTAGGGATCACTGCATGCTCTACTTCCCACATGTACTTCCTTTTATATATTTAGTTCCATTAAGATGAATTCTGTGTGTGTGTGTGTGTGTGTGTGTGTCTGTGTGTGTTTGTGTGTGTGTGTATGAATCAACTTGGGTCAAAAGATCATAAGATTTGGAGCTACTGTTGATGTTGTACAAGATTCATTTCAGGTCCTTGTATATAGATTCATGGAGATCCTTTAGCAATTCAGTTCTTCATGATTTATGTGCAGCGGCTGATGTTTCACAGGATGCCATATATCTAAGACACATGGCATTTAAAACTCTTGAATTGTTCCTTAATTTGGAAGGATCACCTAGTCCTCAATTCCTGCAATCTCAAATTACATTAGGACAAATCTACCATCCTACCTCTTAAAATGACTTTTTATTCATCAGAATAATAGAATATTAGTTATAGCTCAAGGGGAACTTTTGAAGTTTTCTAGTCCAGTCACTTTTATTATATAAAGACTAAGAAATGAAAAAAAGAAAAACTAAGGCTCAAGAAGTTCAAATTATTTTCAAGTTCTAATAATTATAATGACATGAATGTTCTGAGACACAGATTTAACACACTTTCCATTTATAGCCACATTTTTTTCTGGAACTTTTCAATGTTTACAAAATATCTGGGAAAATTGTTTTACTTTTTGATAAAGCTTTTTTTAAAGATCTGCATAAGAAAATCTAGATAATTGACTCAAATGTTAAAAATATGAGATTCATATCAAAGGAATATTTTCTTTAGGCAAAATTAGATACTTTAATTTTAAAATATATTAATAAGTCATTGATATACTATGGTAGGTGTAGAATCTATCAATAAAGAAAAATGGTGGTCTAATAAGTTAGATACTTTGTGAAAGTGGATCTTTTCCTCAAAAATTTATTTTTTTAAAACTTTTTTTTTTCAGGCCACAACATTTCATACATTAATCAAATATTTATATGTATGCAGTTATCAAATTTTAGAGTCTAGGTGGCCATAATTAGGTTTAGGCTGAATCCATATGACGCCAACAACTTCAGTGAAAATGGAAAAACCTTAGGAATCATCTAAATATTCTGGCTACAAAAATCTTAGTCAACCCAATTGGAAATACGTGGATGACTGATTGACTTTTTCGTTTTTCACCTGCATGCTTGGTAGAAAGTCACATAAACAAAGCCTGAATTAAAAGTGAGGGAAAAAAAAATAAAAGTTCTCTACCACTTGCCCTCCTTTCATTTTGTTCTGATTTATTTAATTGTAAGTTTAAGCAACATGACATTTTTATTTATAATTTATTTATAGAAGGTGGTGATGTATTAATTCAAACATAGAGCTACTGATAACTACAGATTTCCCAGATTCCCTGGGCCTAGCTTCACATTTTCTCTAGCTAAAGATTTCCATGTAGGCTCAGACTGTGGAAAATGTAAGCCATCTGTAACACTTCGACACAAAGATCCATAAGGTCAGGGGCTGACCTTATGGTCATCCGCGTATACCCCATGCAGTTAGGAAACTGCCCCAACACCTGTGAGTACTCAGTAACTGCTTGTTAACTGACTGATAAATTTATTTGGAGTTTTTAGAAAGACAGGCAGTCTTTTATTTGCAAACTATCCTTCCTCTAAATTATTTAAAACTAGTTCCTTTTAAACTAGTCGTAAATACATAAAATGTTTCAAAGGGAAGATCATAAAGGCAAAATTTCTCTGGCTTTCTCTATAAAACATGATCTGGGACATGCATGTATTATCAGAATTCATATAGACTGGAGTCAGATTACAGAATTAGTATAGAGGAATGCAGCTAATCTTTCTCATTGTTCACTTCTGAGTAAAATCTGAGTTGAGGCATTGATTTGTTTTCTCCTCCTTCTGGAAACTCTTTAAAGTGTTGCATGTCCCATTGTGAGTGTTCATATTGATAGGCACCCCAAACCCACATGCCTAATTCAGCTCCTTTAAATAGAGTATTATTTTCAGATCAACTTCATTCAAGTCACTGATTTATCTGTTTGACAAGTCCTAACAGAATACAGGGAAGATGCAAGCCAGACAGTCTTTACTGGTAACAATGTATTCATGACTTTAGGAACTGTTTCTGCTCAGGCAGCTTCTTGGTCCTGCCTGAGAAGAGAGGAGCACAGCTTTCCTGGGGTGTGCTATTTGAGCAAGAAAGTAATCTAACACTAAATGCAGGCGGGGTCAGAGTGATGTAACAGGAAGCTCTGATGTTTCCCTTCTGCTGCTGATCACTTACAGTCTGACAACACTTCCAATTCTACTCAGAACAAGCCCTCTCTCCACAGTAGAGCAGTGTAACCTCTTCCATTAAGATCAGGCTCTGATAACTGGATTACACCCAGCCTGCAGGATCAAATTGCAAGTCTTTTGCTGTTCCCCCACCTTGCCTGAGGGGGAGAATCTCTTTTGCAGACTCTCAGAAAAATCAAATTGCATCTAAGACTATTTTTTAAAAAAAATTCCTCAGGAACTGTGCTGGGTGAGTACATATTAAAACATATCTAAGTGCTATAAATGATACTGTCATCTGACTTGAGATTGTTTCGTGGGCTTTAGTTATGACAATAGGAGAAGCTGTAAATATTCTTATTTATGTGTGTATGTTAGATAAGCTAGAGAGCGCAACAGCAAAAGCAGAAATCTTGTTAACTACTATATACTCTTATAATTTAGACTTGTATTTCAGATTTGGGTGGGGGGAGCAAGAAATAAAAGTTGAATGACTTGAAAGGAGCTCTTGTGGGAATAGATTCTCCAGAACTAGCTATGGGTTATGCTCTATTTTCTTATAGTCCTAATATTTAAGAAAAAAAAGTTTTATTCTTGCCAGCTGGAAAACATTAAAACAATTGTTTCAGAAAATAAGGTCTCTAAACTCTCTCAGAACAATTGGGACTCTTAGGAAAGAGGAAGAATAAATGAAAAACTCTACTGGCTCTTCACTCCTAAGGTCTCACTGGCACTGTTATTGAACAGGCAATTAAGGGCAAAAACACTAACTTTCCATTGATCATGCTTGTTTCTTCTTGCAGTTCACCTCAATTCATATATATCTTCTTAATCAATTCTAATATTTTTGATTTTGTGTGTTTTCAAACTATTCCTTTACAAAACTCCAAATATTTGCATTAAACTAGATTATAGAGTAGGATTCTAGATGGAAAGTCATTATTGAAAGGTTGAAAAATGGGCCAGGAGAGAATGTAATTTAAGCTCTGAAGATATGTACATTTTTATTTTTAATGTTACTTCATAGCAAATGCAGTATTTTTTCCTGTTGTGCTACTTGTAGTCTGCTGACTTAATTATTTCTCTGTTCATGTGTTTTGAGAGGATGTTGAGGGAAATGGAAGCATAGGGATATCCAAAAAAAGAAATATATATAAATATAAAAAGGGAGGTACCATGGATAGTAAGAATTTAAATAAGTACATGTAGAATAACTACTAGATCCATATTCACTGCTTGTTGTGGTAAGAATTATATTTTGAGTGAATTAATGATCGTTCAGGCAAGACAAATTATCCTAATGAATTCAACAATTTAATACTCATGTAATTGGTAAGTAAAGAGAGTTCTTAGATTGTTAAATACTATTATTTTAGGAAAATTAGATATCAAAGTTGTGCTTGATTGATGTTGAAGATGCCATTACTGATCAAGATGGGTTTTGCTTTCAATGACATGTCTTTTCTGTTGTTGTGTTTTGCTTCCATTATGGACATCCTGGACTTAATCACCCATAATTTTAACACATTACAAGGGACTACTTTCTCAACCGGTGTAACTCCCTGGCAGTTTTGCCCTGGGTATTCAATACCACAGATGCTTCTAACTAACTTTTCATAAGAGTACAGCTACATGATTCTCTTGCTATTAATTTTCATATTACTTATATTTAGAATCTTTGGCCAGGAGAGGTACACAAATGGGAAAAAAATAGCAGGAGACGGGAATTCTTGGTTACTTTTGAAAGCCTGTTGAAGTTTGGCATGGGGATTAGGAAGGGCATAGTTGAAATCATACATGTTTTAGTTTTGGTTTTGCTTAGAATAGATGTTAAAAATGTTTTATTTCTAATGATACTTAAAGATTATATCCTTCTCTTTGGGAAGTTGTATTTAACCAAATATTTCACATTACAACAATAAAGAGTGAAGACATGGACTAAAAAATGACAAATACGTAATTAATTGTTGGGAGGGGGGAAAGTAATTATCCAATATTGTTTTCACTAAATATCTTAAATTGAAATGACTTATAAATTTGATCTCTAAAAATAACTGCACAAAAAGAACCAAACACTACTTACCTTCTAGAGCTAAAGACTGAAGCAAGAGTTAAAATACCGTGGACCACACACATATGCATGTATACACACACACACACACACAACTTTAAAATTGTTTCCTTTAGAAATCAATAGCTTGCATGAATCCATCCATGATTGTGGTGCTGAGGTAATTATTTTACTTTCTCAAATATATTTGTTCCTGATTCTGTCTCCCCCCATTGACTGCATGGAGTCATCATGTATGCCTAAGCCATGTACAATGAAATGGGAAATTAAGGCAATGTAATGATATGGACAGTTTAAGCCAAAAAAACTTTCATCTAAAATATTTAAGCTATTACATAAAAATATATTATTGAGATAATTGCTCAAATTTCCCTTCATTTTCCAATATATTTCTTGACTTGTGAAAATGTTGGGATTTATTTATTCTATTTCTCAGCCATACTATGCTGTTAAGAACTAGTGATGCTAAGTAAAATGCAGAAGATAAAAAATACATTATTTTGTCCCCATTAAATTATTTGAATTGATTTTGGAGTAACAGAAAATGATATAAAATTGAATTGGAAAATGTAATCTGTAATCTATAATTTCAAAAAACATCCTTTATTTAACTAGCCCAGATTTCTGGTCCCAATATGTCCATCTTTAGAGCATATTCACTTTGCAGTTTTCCTAATAAAGATTCCTCAGCTTTTGTTAAAGTATATTAAAGGTTACCAAAGTTCTAGAATAATATTATTCACCATTTTGTAATAATTTCACTTGAGCAAATAAATTTAATATTAAATTTTGAAGGGTTGTGTCATTATTCTCAAAATGAGTAAACTTTTCAGTGAAAATAGAAATCTATATTTAATAGCAAATTTGATATATATATATATCCCATATTATTGTCACATTATTTACTAAATAAACAAAAATTTAGAGTGTCTACTGGATTTACCGTTTTGCTATAAAAAATGTCAAGGATAGAGAGTTAAAGTTTGATCATAATTCGGTCTTTAAGAATGTTCCTAGGACTTAATTGGAAATTTACCAAAAGTAGCTTTGAAGGAAACAAAGTGACATAGGCAATAAACTAAACGACTGGTTCCAATTCAGTGTTTATTATTTAATTCATTTTGGCAAATTAATTTGCTTCCTGGGGAATACAGTGACCATTGTGTAAATGTAAATGTATTTTAAGCAGCTTGGGAAAGAATTGGTGATACTTACTGAAAGCATGCAGTTGGTACCTTTTCATATATTAGCTAAGAAAGGCAAGCCAATAGACTGTTGATGTGTCTAAAATCTTGAATTTAATTTTTCACATGACCACAATTTTCTAAAGATTTTAAGGTAAAAAAAAATTTGATTTTCTAGGAAATTGTTTTGAGTTAGTGCATTTTGAAGATATTTGCACGCACTAGTTTTATCCTTTATCTAATCTTTGTTTAGGAGACCAAGAAACTCCCCTGCCAGTTAAGATAAACTGTTCCATTATAAACTGGTATGAAAGCTTCTCTTAGTGACCAAAGGTGGTTATTCCCTTGCTGGTATTACAAAACCAGAAGCAAATTTTCAGTGAATATTAAAAAGTGAAGAATCTGTGCAGTACTCTTCCTCAAGTCTGGTATCAGTCTCTTAAAGTACCTAAAATTTTGTCCTAGAAAAGCTCTCATTGTTACCTTACTAGGTCTCTGCTATTCCATGATATGCAGAAATAACCTATCTCCTTTAGTGCTATTTTCTTGGCTTAATATTTAAAAGTATTCTACTGAAAATTAGAAAGCAAAAATCACCAGAAATAAGCTATATCTATATACATATGAAAGTATAGTTGAAAAGTTATCCATATAATTAATTAAAAGTGAAAACCTATGTCTATGATCCCCCCCCAACTCTTTCCTTAATGGCAATATTTAGGCTCATTTTATCTATATTTTTTCCTCATCTCTGCATTTGTTTGCCTTGCTGTGTTTGAATGTGGTATGATGTGGTGGTGGTGGTGGTGGTATGTGTGTTTGTGTGGTTTTAATGGTTATTTAGGAATGTAATTGAGAATTTAATAGGACTTCATGTAACTAAAATTAAAATGGTCCTTTAGGTCCTAGAAGAATATGATGTTCATATTAATGATATCAATCTCTGTCTTATAAGTGTAAGCAGTTTGAAATATTAAAAATATTTTTAGTCTACTACAACTATGATATGAAATAGTTCTTAATATAGATCTATATCTCCAAATATAGAAACATACATTCATACATAAAATATCTATGTATACAAAATGTATACAGATATAGACTATATAAATATATGAATCTATAGTTATAAGTCCATATATAAATCTTTATAGATTTGATCTGTTTCTATAAAAACAGATTCATATATATTTAGACACATGATATAGAAATAACATTACATACAAATTATTATCTCTTTGTGCTCAGAATGATGAAAGTCATTTTAAAAAGCACCTTATGTTCACTGCATTTGTGCAAAGCATTTAAGATTTTTAAGGAGCTCTGTAAATACTTTTGCCAGCTTTTTGTAAAATTTCTGAAGCAATGATAGTCACAAACAAAAAGGAATAACTTTCTGTCACCTTAAGGAAAACATTTGTTGTATTGTTGTTGCATGTATGGAAAAAGAATACTTAATGAACCAACATTTTCCACTTTTGTACATGACCCAAGAAGTGATCTCAGGGCAGGTATATGCGAACCTAACCTTAGGTCTATGGGTCAGAGAATCTGATGGAATTATAAACATGTGTCATTGCTTTAGTGCACGAAATGGTGTCCTAAGGAGCAGAAAGAGTAAATGCAATTGCCAGAAATTCATAAATCATTCCCAGAGAGGAGTTTATATAGTTGGGCAGTTAACACGCATACTTTAGCCTCTGTTTCTATCATTTAAATACAGCCTAAGTACCTGAGATAACCAAATAGTTGGTTCACATATTCTACTAATAACTCTTAGGTGCTCATTTAAAGTAGAATCTTTATTAGCTATACAAGATGGAAAATTGAAACAACAATCCAGGTAATTCTGGTTCAAATAAGGGACAAGACTTCTCTCAACAGGATATACTAGCTTTTAATATTTTCTGTAGAAATTATCTTTGAATGTGAAGTGCCTTTGCCAGCAAAGTTCTTGACTTTGAATCCCCCAGCATCTAGCACATTGCCTTACAC